TTAAAGTCTTGTGTTCTCACCCAGGTTACGAGTAGCTTCAAAACTCCCCATGAAGTCTCTGCCAAACTTATTTCTTCTTGTCCTGTCCTGTCTTTTCCAGGTAAGCACTCTCTGTCTTTTGCCTGACTCATTCTCTTGCTTTAAAACATGATTTACTTTCTGTGTCTTTTTTCTAAACAGTGTATTGCCTAGTCTCAAAAAACTGAAGATCATGCATAATCTATTCCTTTAGGTGAAAACTCCCAGGAGATAATAAAATAAGCAGATGCATTGTTATCAGACATCTCTATAATTTCCAAGAGCCTTTACATCCAAAGGTTCTGATTGAGTTCCAGGAAAGTGGGCTCACATACCAATCAGGACTGGTACTGGATACTCAATAGAAATGTTGTCAGAGGGTATAGACTTCTTTCTGTTTTTTTTTTTTTTCTTTTAAAGTTGCCATTGTGAACTTTGATGGTCTCAGACTTATTTAAAGGCAGAACAGTTTCATGGAGATGAAATAAGTGAAGTTGGCTGCTTCAGGATTATAGGGGAATAACAGAACAGGATCTTTATCAACACGTTATCCGTATAACAAAGGAAAATATATACAAAACTGTGGCAGCCTTATCTAGGCTGTCTTCTGGTACCTGGAAATATATACTTAGGACCCTTGAGCATCTTCCTGTTCAGTGACTCTTCTTCAGTGTGTACTAGTTGCATATATGCCTGTGCATGGCCGACACCATAGGATTGCTTTTCTGAGGATTCCCTTTGCCTTTCAGATTGTCTTCTGGGTTGTATCTCCTGTTTCCTGCTACTCAAGTCTTTTTGCTTGCTTGCTTGCTTACTCTTGTTTTATTAGCATATATACTTTGCTATCTTCTTGAGAAAAGGTAGGAGGAATATACAATATTGAAAAGAGATTTCAGGTCTGAAAATATTATTTTACCTCCATACTGAATTGATAATTGGGCTGGGTATAGAATTCCATTTTGTTTGTTTATTTTGTATTTTCTGAGACAGAGTCTCACTATGTAGTTGAGACTGACCTGGAACTCACTATGTAGCCCAGACTGGTCTCAAACTCACAGCGATCCTCCTGCCTCACCCTTCAGAGTGCTGGGATTACAGGCATGTGTCACCACGCCTGGCTAGAATTCCATTTTGTTTGTTTATTTTGTATTTTCGGAGACAGAGTCTCACTATGTAGTTGAGCCTGACCTGGAACTCACTATGTAGCCCAGACTGGTCTCAAACTCACAGCGATCCTCCTGCCTCACCCTTCAGAGTGCTGGGATTACAGGCATGTGCCACCACGCCTGGCTAGAATTCCATTTTGGAAGCAGCTGTCCTTTGAAATTCTGAAGTATTTCTCCATTGTTGTCTTGCTTTAAGAGTTATTATTGAGAAATCCAAAGCCATTTTAATTTTTCATACTGTCCATGTATTTTCTCTTTGTCACCAATGTTTTGAAATACTAAGATATGTCTTAGTATAAGTTTGTTTTGATTCTCTGAGCTGGACACTCAGTGTATCATTTTAATTTGGCAATTCTGATAAAATAGCTTACTGATCATCTCTCTGTTTCTCATAATTGGATGCAGTATCTCAGGAATTATTCCTATAAATTCTCTTATCTTTTCATAGCATTCTTTAACTTCTTGGCCCCTTTTCCTACTTTCTGGAGAAGTTTCCTTTTAATGAACACTTTTTTAGACTCCATAGATACTTGTTTTTTAGTTTCCACTTTATATTGTGGTATCTTCATACACTCCACGATGACACTGAAAATAATTATTTAAGAACTTCTTTTCTTGTCAAGACTTTCTTATCTTTCATTCTTTAGTGAGCTTGTTTTCTACCTTCCAGGTTGGAGCTTTTCCTGAGATCGATGGCCATCTTTGACTAGCCACTGATGAGTAAGTTAGTCCCTTTTCCCACCTCCATGTGTGTGGTTTGCTACTGTTACACCGTATTGAGGGTGGCATGGCTCACCTGTTTGTGGGGATAATCTCTAGTAACAGTGTTCTTAGGTTTTTCCTTTTGGGCGATCTTTCTGCCTGAAGGATAAAAATCTGCTTGCTGGGATTCTGGAAGTGAGTTATAATTGCACTTTCAGAATTAGAAATGAAAAAATTAAATAACTGAAAAATTAAAAAAAAGAATTAGAGATGAATACAGATAGTTTGTGTTTTCAACTATTCTCCAGTCAAAGAGCTTCAGAGATTAAATTCACACATTATTTCTGAGCTGGAGGAAGGGAAGTTACTTGGTAACATGAATTAGAGGATTTAATTAGTGATTAGTTTCTCAGCTTTCATGCAGTTCTTCTGATTGTATCCCCATTTCCCCAGTTCTGCCCTGGTTGAGGAGTTGAATACTACCAACTCATGAACTCACTTGATCTGTGATGTAAATAAAGCGGTTTCACAACTTTTTCCTCTTTTGGCTTGGAATTTAGCTTTTTTCTGTCTGATGAGTCTTTTTCTATACATCCACCTCTTTTGAAGAATACAATGTTTTACTGATGTCCTCTTTTTCACTCTGTTCTTAAAAATATCCCTTTACTTTGGTTCTGCAAGGGTATTAGAAGAAAGCAAAATTCAATGAATGAATTTGGTACACTTAAATCAGAATAACTCCCCTTTTAAGTTTTCATATTTGTTTAATAATTAATATATATTACTTTAATAATCTAAATATTCTGAAGCAATGTTTATTTTGATAAAAACATCAAAATGAATGCAATGATAAAAAGGAACCAAATATTTTTATTTTTCCAATAACTACATAAATAATTGAGTAAAATGGATATTTCTCCAAATTCCTAGTGGATTAGTTAAGTTTATTCATAGTGGAGTGGCCCAGATAGTATTTCTAAGACCATGCACTTATAATATGCATGTAATTAAATATACATCTATTTTAAAGACACATATAGTTTGCTTTCTAAACCCCCTATTCCCCATCCTCATGTGCTCATAGGTTGGACTTTTTAGAAGTGACTGGATCTAGCATATGTGATACTGGGATTAAATTGTGTGGTACTGGATTAGTCCACCAGTTAGTTTATCATAGTTCTGAGTTTGGATAATGGGAAGGCCCAACCTGGACATGGGTGGCTTGTAGCCTGGATTGGATAAAAGGGAAAGGGCAGTATCCTGCTGCCGCTTTACCACTGTGCAGCACAATGCCTCCTGTCTGCTCTTCTCTGCCATGGACTGTTTCTCTTCTGTGATGCCTCTCTGCCATGCAGCTCTGCCTTAGACTCAGCCAATTATGACTGAAACCTCTACCAACTGTGAGCTGAAATAAAACTTTCTTATTTTAACTTGTAGGTGTCAGGTATTATGTCTCAGCAATGAGAAAGTAACTAAGATGCAGTTATATGCTGCACAGTTATGCTTTGGTCAATGATGAACTGCATGTACTATTGTGAACTCATAAGATTATATTGCCTAGTGATATCATAGCCATTTTAGTTTATCAAAGTTTATGATGTTCATACAATGACAAAAACACCAAATGACATATTTTTCAAAATCTGTGTCTGTCATGGACTGGGAATTTAGCTTAGTGGTTCTGCCACCTGCTTCACAAGTGCAAGGTCCTGAGTTTGATCCCTGGTATAAAAAACAAAACAAACAAACAAACAAACAAAAACCCAACTCTGTCATTAGGCAATATGTGATTTAAACACATATTTAAGAGAACAAGTTTAATTGTTAAAATTTACTTTGGGTAAAAAATGGACTTGTAGAGCAAACTTACAGGAAAATAAACCAACTCTAAGAATGAAATCCCCACCTATAGTTCTTGCCTACTGCAGAGTGTGTGCTTTATGTCTCGTAATTGGGGTTACTTTCTCTAGCAGGTATTGTTGGTGGCTGGCTTTCCACATTCAGAATTTTCCTCATTTTCTCATAGGACCCCATGTCTTATTGCTTCAGGATTTTTTTCTTCTTGACGATTTAGAAGCAAATAGTGCTAAGATCTCTGGGGTTTCTGGTGATTTAATGTATTACTATTCATGGTTTAAAGATTTGTAAGTTACCAAGGATTTCCTGGAAGTGATACTTTAACTTGAAGATGATCTCAGATGATACTCATTTCAGGAGGCAATAGAACATGGGCTTAAATAGCCTAATTTGATGTACTGTGAATAATGTGAGGAGGCTCAGTATTAGCCTCTGTCTTAGTGGATTAAGAACTGTACCTCAACAGCACTGACCTTTATAGAATCATAAAACATTGATTCAGAATATTGTTTTTCAATTAAGAGACAGAACTGAGGAAGATTTGCATCAGTTTGTTGGCATTTTAAAATTGAAAATGTAAAATTGATAACAATGAAATTTATGACACACCCAAAGGAAATTTTTGTTGTAAGCCTGTGTGAGTATTCCACTATATATTGGTATATGTTACTGATTATGACCATTTTGTTCTTTTACAGCTTGGGGTTTTTAGTAAAGTACTCCTTTGAACATTCTAACACATGTATTTTGATAAATAATTGTATTCAATTCATTAGGTATGTGCTTAATAGTAAAAGTGTTTTTGGTTTGTTTGTTTGTTTTTTGTTTTTGTATCAGGGATCAAACTTGGGCCCCTCCACTTGGGAGGCAGGCAAGAGGAACCACTGAGCTAAAACCCCAGCCCAATAGTAGAAATATTTGATGATAAGACAGCCATGTTTTCAGCTTTAATAAATGTTATTAAAGTTTTTGGAAATAGTTGTACCAACCAGTGTGCTTTCTTGTTCAATGAATAAATTCCTTTATTGATGACTCTCTCTATACATAAATCAATTTATTATTTTAAGTGGTACTTAACTATAGGGTTTACCTCAGGGAGTGCCAGCTTGGTAGACTCTTAAATGATTACAACTTACTTTTCTTAGTTTAATCTTATTATTATTACGAGTTTATATGTTCAAATTATTTTTCCATTCTGCTCATTTTAGAAGGCATGATGCTAGTAGAAAGTGCAGAAGCTCTTGCAATTGTCCTTTGCTGGAATATATGATAAAAATTGGTTCTCTGGTGTGAAAAACTAAAAGTGTAAATAAGGTCCAAATTATATAACTGACAATGTGAAATAGGAAGAAAAAGGCTAAAGGAGTAGGGGAAGTGAGAAGGGTAGGAGAAAGGAAATAAGGGAAAAGAAAAAATATGAGAAATGGAAAAAATGGAAACAAAGTCTCTGTAAATAGGGAGTGGGGGGGTGAAGGGAGAGCAGGAGTTTGGGGAAAAAATAAGAACCAAGATCTGTCATGTAAAGACACAAGATCTCAATGAGATCTAATTGTACTGTATACTTAAAAAATACCAATAAACTCAATGAGAAAAATTGGTTAAATACTAGGCTATAAACTATTTTGGAATCTTCTGGTTATTGCACTTTATGCAACTTTTAAAGAATAATGTTCACTTTTATTTGCTATTTTGTAAATTCCTGTGAGGGAGAGAGAATAAAGAAAATTCCACAGAGCCATGGAATTTTAATTTTCAAAGTGAAGCATAATTAAGATAAAATTTGAAGTATATCTAATTCATTTTGGAAGCCCAAGGAAATTTGGATAAGTATGAGAAAGTTTGGGAAATTAGACTTGTAATACATGCCAATTAAATTTAAAGAAGGAGAAGATTCATTTGTAATTTAGAAATACTCAATAAAAGACATGCTCAAACTGAGATCCAATCTTCGTGTGTGATATATGAGAAGGGTAGATGGGATAAGGCATTTCAGACCAAACAAGCTTGAAATGCTCATTTGAAAAACGAATTTTCTCCATAAATGGATGTTCATTTGAAAGGTACTGGCAAGATTCAGCTAGTAAATGTAAAATTGTATATTTTATTAAATTTAATGAGTAACAACCCCACATACAGCACAGGCAGGTAGAGTAACAAGGAAACTGGCTTCTGTGATATTTACCTTTGCTGATTCATGGTGACCTGCAAGTTACAGGACTTGGCATAGCAAGCTATTAACTCATAGGTCTTGTGTGTCTAATCTCTTAATTTATTATGGGAATTTTAAAATATTCAAAAATTAAAGACAGTAAAATAATGGTTCTGCTGAACCCATCACCGACAGACACTCAGTGATGATCTCAATTGGTCAAAATTATTTTAGACATATTCCATTCTTCCTCCAGGCAGATTATGGAGAAGTAAAGCCCAGGAACATATTATTTCCTTTTGAAATATTTCAGCAGTTCTACAAAAGGTACTATTCTCTTTAAAAGATACCTATACTGTCATTATCACTTCTACATGAAATTTCCTTGATTTGTGATTAATACTTTTTATTGTATTGACCAGACAAAATTTGAACACAAGACTTGAATCAAATAGTTGTGCTTATTGCATTAAAGTTTTCATTTCATTTTACCACAGTTGACTATGACACATATGTTCAAACCTACTCATATCTGTAACACATTTTTCTAATAATTACTTCCTTTATTTCTTATTTATTGGTATTCCTCTTATTTATTTCAACATTACTCCATTGAATGGCTTCCCTAATGGATCAGATATCTGCATGGATTTTTTTTTTGTTTTACTATTGTGCAATTGTCTTAATTGGAGTATGGTATCCTCCAGCTACAAATAATCAGAAAAGAATGCCGATACAGTATTTTGTTGAGCAATTTGAAGTTTTGCCTGCCATAATATCAGTAATCCAGGGACAAGGGCAGTTAGAGTGGAATCTCTGTATTTCAAATAAATGCCTTGGGGCCTAGATTATATTTTCCAAGCCCAAAGATAGTCCAGTGATACCATGGGAGCTTTTATGGCATCATTAACTATGGCACAATGCTTTTAGTGCTTTGAAAACTGAGGGCAAGCTGCAGATTCATTTCTGTCCCCAGTAAAAGTCAGTAAGAGTAATCAATGCAAACCAGTAG